TGGACTAATACCTATGTCAAGATACTGAGTAATTAATTAAATACACATCAAGATTTTGTCTGTATTAATGGTAAAAGGTATGGGGGGGCTTCTGAGACAAGAACTGTGTTAAAAGATTTTAAAGGGGTCAATCAGGACACTGATCATCCAGTATATTTGTCCAGCCCCATTACTACAGCAGAAGGGTTTGGTTGGTGTTTTTATTTTTCAGGTAATATGCCTTAAATACTCATAATAAATGTCTTAGAATAATGATTATTAGATCAAGGTGAAAGTTTTGTTTAATTAGCTAAAGATACCAGGCTTGAAATCTGTTCAGTGGCAGACCATTGGCCAAGTATAAACAGAAAGGTCTGGGTTCAGTCACTACTGTGTCCTCCAAAAAAAAACAAAAACAAAAACAAAAACGTTAAGAGTCAGATGTTGAAAAGGTTGTTAGAACAAATACATAAACTACCAGTGAAAATACTAAACCATAACTAATAGTTGAGCTTTACTTTTAAACAACTTAAACATTCTTTTCCTTTGGCTGTGGTAAAAACAAAGAAAGGATATTGTTGCAGCCAAATAAAAAATCTGTTTAAAGGGTTATTTATCAGACTTGGGTAGATTCTTGCAGGTCATTGATCCCAATTCTGAATAGTGAGTAGATACTATGAAAGACAGTTTGTGAAATCTGAACCCCTTTATTATAGTTTTATGTAAAGACAGAAGCAGATATCTAGCTGGATTTCGTGTACTGTGTGGAAATGACTTTTTAAGTCCTTCAGTAGTCTCTTCTCATGCAGATTTGAGTATGAGCACAGTTGAAGAGGATTCTGACACAGTAACAGTAGAAACTGTGAACTCTGTGACGTTTACTCAGGACACAGACGGGAACCTCATTCTTCATTGCCCTCAGAATGGTAGGAGACTTTGATGACTATTCAAACTGGGGATGTCTCCGTTTTATTTTGTCTGTCACCCACACACATAGCTTAGGCCAGTATACTTGAGAAAGTGATGGTATCTTTGGATTGTGGATTAATATTAAATTATGTGTGTGTGTTTAAAAAATACCTTAGTATTTTTAAGTTAGCTGAATTTTAGTCTAGTAACCATTTTACATGGAATATAAATCTCTGAAGATGGTACAATAGCTATAATACATTTTTAGATCATTTCTTACCAGAGTATATTTGACATATAAGTAGTTCTGCCATTGATTGATGCTGATACAGGAAACAGGATTTTATGTGACTGATTCAAAAGTTTGTGAAGTAAGTGTGTGTGTGTGTGTGTGTGTGTGTGTTCATTCTTTACTAAGCTACTTTCTGTCTTATTGCTCTGGAGTCCCTGGATTATTTCCCTCAGTCATTTTAGCCACCTGCTATGGTGGCTCGTGTTTCTGTCTTTATTACTAAATTTTACTAAATGTCCCAAGCACACTCTCCACACTGCACTCTACTTTTTACTTACAGTCTCTGTGGTCACAGCTAAGAATAAGTGGTGACTTAACTGGAGGTATGCTGTTGGAAAGCTCTGTTTATCCCTGTTATGCGTCGTCTTTGTTTGGTCAGATTATCTTTCTCATCTGGGTAACTCTGGGCTACTCTCCAGTTTTCCTGTTTCTTGATGCTGTTTTGAAAGCTTACCAGGATGTTTTGAGAAAATATTTTGGGTACTTTTGATACTTTATTTTCTTCCTCCTATCCTGCCTGCCTTCCAGAGTATCCACAGTCCATGTGACTATATTCTAATAGTTCATAGTCATTGTATTTTCATAACATTTGTTTTCTTCAATTCTACTGCACATTTTGCTGTTACTGGCAGAAGGAACTAACATGTTTCCCTGCCCCATTTTTTCCTCCCTCAAGCTCATGATACCTCCAGGAGAAACCTCCCTTCATATTCAATCTCAATGTGTTTCTTCTGTGTCCTGTGACAGCGTCTCCATTCCACTTTCACAACTCTGAGTACACCGTTTTGAAATTGTTCATTTAGCTATTACTAGGCCATAACTTCTTTCGTGGGGTATCTTTTCCTTGATAAGGTACCCTTCCTTCATAGGGTATCCTTTCTTGAGAGGGTATCCTTCATTGTACTGTTCCAAACACTTAGAACAGACTATAGACATGTAGTAACTATCTGAATGAATCTGACAACCAGCCTCCTCTTTGTGAAATCTTTGGAAAACCAAGCTAGTTAGAAGGTGGCACTTTGTCCATGACAGTTCTTGGTACAAGAACAGGGGCTGAGTACTACTGAAAGCAAGGAGAAGGCAGTGTGCTTGGAGTCCTTGTGTAGCTGGGTGAATTTTATTTAGTATGAGCAGGTGGGTGGAAGGATGGTTTTAAATGGATGAGAAAATTGCTGCAGAGACGGCTGTACCAGGTAGAGATTTTGTGTTTTCATAATTGGTTTGAAGATTTTGAACATTGTGTCTGTTTTCTTTCCCCTTCCTCTAGATCCTGATGAGATAGACTCAGAAGACAGTACTGAGCCTCCGCGTAAGAGGCTTTGTTTGTCCCCTGAGGATGACCAGAGCGTTGATGACGCTGCTCCCTGCATCTCAGTCGTTGCACTCCCACGTAAGTCTCCTGAGAACAGGCCCTCTGAGTCTGATGTTAGCCGTGCGAGCCAGTCGGCATTTCTAGGGAGACGTGAGCTCTACTTAGTCAGAAAATTGTTTTCAAACAAATGCTGATGGGTGTTTATTGTATGTAGCATTAATTGCCTTTACGTATTGTCCAACCTCTTCAACACTTCTTTACTCTCAACCGGCTGCTGTAGACTTTATAATGAATATGCGTGTGCACCTGCTTTGTTCAAGAGTATAATATAAGGTTTTTAAGCCACATCCTTCCCCCAGGCCAACATGCTGTGCAGTAGGTACTGTTACCATTCACACACGGAAGTGAAGGAAAGGAAGCTCAGCGAGACCGTGCATTTAGACAGTTGCAGGTAGTCTGGTTCCTCTAGCACGTGCTGTAGCCCTCCCTCATGCTCATCTGCATGGGAATTAAAGGAGGTGCCTAGTTTACTTCATCGTAACACAGCCCTTAGTATGTTTAGATTCTAACAGCCTTCGAGTAGGCTAGACTCCAGAGAAGATAGAATGTTTCAGATGAAATGCCATTGGCAACGGCATACCAGCAACAGCAATAGATCATATCTCTGATTTGCTTAGTAAAGAATATGAAACCCTGTTCCTTTAGAGCCGGAATAGATGCCTTCATCCGTGGTAATAGAAATCATGTGGCGGTTGATGGTACTTTAATAAAAATTACCATTCTCAAAAATTCTGACTTTACACTTAAGCATCAGGTGAAATCATATCTTATCAACGAAATTAAGACTAGGTTTTTAGCATAGAAAATTGTATCTTAGCAAGTAGTATGCACGTAATTGCTTAAATTGAACAGGAAAGAAACAATTTTACTATAATTTACTATGCATTAAAAATCCTGTTCAGGCTAATACTGTTTTCAAGTATACCATATTTGTGCCCAAAGTTTTGAACTAAATGAATCTTCCTGTCGATTCATGTTTTTAAATGTCTTCTACTGTGTCACTCAATTTTAATAATTAATTGGCCTACTTACACTGATATAATCCTACGTGAATATTTTATAAGCCAGTTTTTTGAACAATTTTTTGTGCTAAGTCATGACAGGTTAAGTTCGTTATTTAAAGTGCTTAGTTCACTCTGCACTTGGCACTTTGTTCCATTCTTATGACAGTAAGTCTTTGTTCATCACCTAATAGACATGGAGACGCTGACACTAGTGTGGAGGTGACACTCAATTTGCTCATTACATATGGGACATAATTTGGAGTCTAATACAAGACTGAACTTAATAAGCTAGGCTCTGGGTATATATTCTCACATTTGTAAAAGTTGTTGATAAAATCAAGTTAGGAAGGTTTCTCCTTTAAAAGAAAAATAGTAAGCTATAGTGAAGGTGCAGAGTTTGGCCATTTGTCCCCTCAGCCCTTGACTCTGAAGAGTAGGTAAGCCGCCTGTCCCAAGAAGCTGAGGCCAGCTAGTCCTGCCCACCACCCCAGGAAGCAAGCATCCCACCCCTGCCCCCCCACAGCTTTGTGAAGGTGACTGTGTGTGGTTTGTATACACTGATGGGCATTCTTTCCTTGTGCCCACTAGGGCAGCCTCATCTCCACAGAAGTCGTCTGACATCTGTGTACACTCTGCCACACCACCAAGTATGCTGGGCCTACTGGAGTAGACCTGTTTCCATGTGGCCTTTACAAATTAGCAGGTGCTTTACCTCCATAACACTCTGGCTACATCTTGCCTAGAAGGGACCATAGTGGCTACATCATAGTTGACAGCATCAACCCACAGAAACTGACAGGGAGCACGTGATGCCTAGATCCACTGGCTAAATACCACTAAGAGAGCTGCATCTTAGCAAGTAGGATAATCCCACTCATACTTTATGGTCTAGGCCACCAAGTCACCCATAGGTTACAGCTGAAGAAGTTAGATAAACATTTAACTGCTACATCTCCCTGGGACCAAAGCCAAAGTAGTCTACCCAACCGGTGCCTTAGGTCACATCTCTAGGAAAAAATTCTACCTATGAAACTAGTAGAAGCAACTTAATGTACAGATTTACATGTTTAATGTATTTAGGGACAAAGACACACATACACACAAATAAGGAAACATGTTACTGCTAAAAGAATAAAGCTAAAGGAAGCAAGTTCAAAGAAAAGAAAATAAACAATTTGCCTTTATAATAGTTTAAATAATAATTCTAGTTCAGTAAAGCATGAGAGAATGAAATTAGGAAAATACCTTTTGTTCTAAAATAATCAGGATATATTAAAAAATATAATTGGAGCTAAAGAATGTAGTAAATGAAGTCTTAAAATATAATAGAGTTTTGGGATCCAGCAGAGGAAGAACCTCTGAGTCCAGATTTCTGAGTTTGAAGTTATAGTAGCTGTTTAGAAATAACTTAGATTAAAAGAAGAAAGCATCTGTAAGACTTGTGGTTAAGCAAATAGTACTATTATTCGGATTTCGTAATAGAAGGAAAATAGGCATATAAAATGAATACAGCAAAAAAGGGCATTTTTTTCAAGTCTTCAGTTAATGTATACTTCCAGGTCCAAGAGCCTGAGAGACCCCTAGTAGATTCACTCAAGAAAGGTCCTCCCTTAGGTGTATATATGTATATAGTCAAACTAACAAAGGCCAAGACAAGAGTGCCAACACGTGGGATCTTCTCTGGACTAGCTGCAGACTTCTCAGCAGAACGTCTAAGGGCTAAAAAAAGAATGAGACATACTCAAATTGTACAAATAAATAAATCAATTCAACAAAGTACTACCAATCAAAATGAAAAGTGTCTTTCCAAGACAAGCTAAACCAGACAATCCACTTCTGTCAAACCACACCAGCTTTATTATACTGAGACTCCTTCACTACAATCAGAAGGACATCTATTAAAACAAACAAACAAAAAAAAAAAACCTCGGAAGTATAAGATACATAAAAAAGACAGACTAATTAAATCTTACCAGTACCAAGAAACAGCTATCCAAGAGGAAAAAGGAAATTAGTGTATACTAAGAAAACTCCAATTTTAATAAAACCACAAGAATATAAATTAACAATATTAATGTTAAATATAAATGGATTAAATTTCACTATTTATGGATTAAAAGGCAAAAATCTTAAGATTAGCTTTCTTATGAGAACACACAGTAAACCAAAAATTAAGGAATGAAAAAATGAAAAGCATCAGGAAGTTATTATTTAAGGAAAAATGGATTTACTTATTTATTTATTTATAGATGGGAAAAACAAAGGTCATCATAATAAAAGGGTCACCTGACCAGGGTGACATAGTAGTTGCAGACAAGTGTACACACCCAATAGTAGAGCACTGTTACATAAACCAAATGTTGGTATAAAGAGATACTTACTGCCTAAAGCGATGGTTGAGGGTTTCAGTTTCCTGTTTTGATCTCTAGACAAATCAGATAGAAAATCAACAAAGAAACATTAGCATTAAACTTCACTATAAACCAAATGGCCATAATAGACTGACATAACATTTCATCCAGGAGTGAATTATTCACTCTCTTCAATACAAGGAGCATTCTTGAGGACAGACCATGCATACATCAGGCCACATTCCAACAAATTTCAAAATGAAGTCATCAGACCACCATGTGAATTAAGTTAGAAAGCAACAGGGAGACCTCAAAAATCAAACAACATGCTATTGAATGAATAATGAATGGGTTAACAAATCCAGAAGAACTATCTAAAACATTTCTAGAAACATGAAGATAGCGGCATGGCTGCCTGGGCCCAAGGGATAAGCAATGTTAAGAGAGAAATTAATAACAGTAAATGCCTACTTTGAAGTAAGAGTTTACATAACCAGGTAATGCACTCAGGTACCTAGCAAAACAATAATAAATCAAACTCTAATCATAAGGGAAGAAATAACAAGTATCAGATCAGATTGAAACAAACTAGATCCTAAAAGTGCAATATAAAAGCTCATTTGAGGAGAGCATATATACTTGATAAATCATTAGATTAATCATAAAAAGACTCAAAATCAGACCAAAATGAGAAATTATAATTGGTACAACAGAAATATGAAGAATTAGAGGTACCTGTATTTTTAAATGACTATGCCAATAAATGGGAAAACAGAAAATTTGAACAGACCAATAGTGGATAATGAGATAGGTCATCTCAGGCTAAGTAGAATGGCTGTAATTAAAAACAAGGGTGCAGCAAAAGAATGTACTGCCATTCTGGAAGACAGCATGAAGGCTCTTCCTGAAGTAAAATTGATAGATAATCTATCAGAAGATGCCTGCATTTCACATTCCCATGATCATAGCACTGTCTTAGTAGCCAAGATGTGGCGTCCATCCATAGATGAAGAAAATGTACATGGAAATTGTGGAATATTAATTTGGACGTAAAAGAATAAAGTGCTGCATTTAAAGCAACAGCATGTCTTAGGTGAAGTAAGCCAGGCACTAGAAGCTGAAGAGATTGATTTCTTGGAGGTAGGAAGTAAAACGGTGGTTGCTGGAGTTGGGAAGGATGGGAGTAGGTGTGGGGAGCCTGAATAAAAGGCACCAGGATGCAGTTAACTGGAGAGGGGAGATTAGTGTTCTGTGATGAAGTAAAAGACTGCTGTTCCCCATGTAGGGAAGTGGGCCTAGAGACAAAAGCTAGGATTGGAGCATGGAATGCTGTGTCTCACGCTAAACACTTAATTATACTTCATGCAGGTTGGCTGGTTAGTATTACGATTTATATTCAGGCTTCACATTTAGTTCATTGTAGCTCACTACTTCCTTTGTGGTCACTTGCCAGTGCATTTATACCATTTCTTGCTCATGGTCATGGGAATTAATTACCTGTGGGTTTGGTGATTCTTTTGAGGCCCCGGTCACTCATTCTTTGTGTTCTCCTTTTGCTGCTCCCATTGCCACTCAAGTCTCTTGTTGCTGGTGTGCGTTTGTGGCCTTTCAGACCTGTTCCCGCTGTTGGTTCTTCTCTCCAGCTCTTCCCTCTGTAGTGCTCAGTGATCCGTTTCAGCTCTGAACCCACTGGTGGGCCACGCAGTCAGGGTTTGTTCTTCTGCACTGTGTCCTTCCTTTTCTCCTTAGCCTGTGGTAGTTTTGTCGTTAATCATTATATTCACGGTCCTGCAATTACCTTCACATGCCTTTCTTTCATTGTTCTTTGGTTAAACTTCAATCCTGTCTTAATTGGGTTTTGCCTGTCTATGTCTAGCACAGCTATTCAAATGGTTTTGGAGAAAGGCAGGATGAACAAGCTGCCTTGGCTCTATCCCTTACAAGTAGGACATGTGCTCTAGCAGGACATGTCACACCAGTCTCACTCAAATTCTCCTCCTGTCTACTCTGAGATCAGTGTTTCTTGCCCCAAAATGTGACAGCTGCACCTTTCTTATTCAGAGGACAACCTTGCTTTCTATTTCAGAGACAATTGCAGTAGTGAGAAAATAGACTGTACACTCTGTTACCACATGTGTCTTCACCTGTGTCTGTGTATCCTTGTCTTCACCCTGACCAGCTAAAGCTTTTCCATGTACCAGCTCCATGACTTTGAATACTCAGAGATGTGGTTCTCAGGTCTGTCTTCTGAATCACTAATGGCTCATTCTCTACCTTGATGATTCCCATTAGTGTTAAACACATGTTTTTCTGTAAACTAAAGCCCTGAAGTCATTTTTGGCCACTGTCCAACAGCCTGTCCTTCCCTCCATGTCGTTCCAGTTTTCCTGAATACATTCCAGGGTTTCATGCTTTACCAAACTTTTTCCTAGGTCTCCAGAGATCTTGTGGCAAATCCAGTATTCTTTCTTTTTCTCCCTCTTTCTGATTTTGTCTTTTCTGTCAAAAGCTTTTATCACTGGCTTCTGGAAACACTTTTCTCTGGTTTTCTTTTACATGCCCGTCTCTTAGTTTGACGTGCGCATGTCACGCCAACCTCTAAATATGGAACCCCCAGAACTCAGACTTGGCTCTTAGATTGCTGCTTCATTACCCATGTGATCTTACCTGGTGGTTTTTCTCTCTGGTGATGACAACCCCACTTACTTTAGCCAGACTTCTCTTAGATGTGCCTGTTACATTAGAGCCACCTGCAGGGTTTCCTGAATTCTTGATGTTTGGTAAATATCTCAGGCATGTATTTAAAACTGGCTTCCTGAAAATTCACAAATGCTTAATAGTAGTCTCTTCTTGTTGCCTACACTTAAGAAGGAAGAAAGCACCTGTCATTCATCCTTGACTTGTCCATTTCTCACACATCTAGTTTGTCTTCAAATCATATTGGCTCCGTCACAAACATTTATTCAGAACTTGAACTACTCCTGTTTCCACCTAGTCCAGTGTCTTCTCTTACATTACATTAGCCTCTTACTGATCTCACTCTAGCCTTCTACCCTTCACATTGTTTCCCTCATAGCAACTAGAGCAGTCCTGTTAAAATCAAAATGTTGGTATCATTTCTCTGCCCAGAATCGTCTTGTGGTGTCTGGTCTCAGTTGAAGTTGACATCTTGGCTTTTCAGTGACTACAAAATCTCACAGTCTCCTGTTCTTACTTCATCTTCTGCAGCAGCAATGGACTTGATTATACTTGTGCCATTCTAAGCATGCCCTATCGCAAAGCCTTTGTGCTCTTTGTTTCTTAAGATGCCTCCTGCAAGACACCATCAAGACTACCTTTCTTACTTTGTCCCAGGGTTTGTTGCCCCAGCTCCTACCTAAAATGTCAAACATACTGCTTCAGTCCACCTCATTCCCTTCTCTGTAAGTGTCATCCAATATGGTATCTTGTTCACTTTTAGAATGTAAGCCCCCATGAAAGGACCTTCCCACCTGGCACACATGGCTACTAGCAAATTAACATGCAGTACATTGTTAGAAGGGTGTTAGGAAACTAGATGATCACATTTTCCTCATGGATTTTGTTAGGGTAATTAGATCCTATGATTATTATTGCGGAGATGAATCATTATTTTCTTGAAGTTTCAGAAAATGATCAGAGCTTTGAGGTGACCATGACGGCAACCACAGAGGTGGCAGATGATGAACTTTCTGAGGGAACTGTGACACAAATTCAGGTATAGTACATCTTTTAAACTGGTTTTAGTGAGGAACATGGTTATTATATGCAGCTTAAGTAAAAAATGATAAGCATATACTCTGGCAGCATTGCAACAATGAAATCAATTTAAGACCTATCACTGAGGTTTCTAGTCTCCACATGTTGTAAGCAAAAGTAGATTCTGAATATTTGTTCCTTATAGAGTAGTTCTGACTGTTGAAATGAAAAATGATGGGTGTGTATTCGTCTATGCAGTGATTATGGTCGTATTGTTTCATCTGGTGCTTGTATAACTTGTATAGCTAGATATCTCATGTGTTGTGAGGTTGGCTGGTGGATGGGCCTTAAAGTTCTTTTTTTTTTTGCCTTTTTTTATATTTTCAGTTAGAAGCAAGCTTGCTTCACATGTCAATCCCCTCTCCCTCCCCTCCTCTCCCGCCCCCCTTCTGCTTTCCCCCAACCCCTCCCCCAATCCCCATTCTGCTTTCCAAGGAGGGTGAGGCACTTCATGGGGGATCTCAAAAGTCTGTCATATCACTGGGGCAGAGCCTAGCACCTCCTTCATGTGTCCAGGCGGAGACAGCATCCCTCCAAGTGGAATGGGCTCCCAAAATCCATCTGGATGACAAGAATAAATGTTAATCTATTGCCCAAGGCCCCAAAGAATGCTGAGGCCTCCTTCTGATACCCACATCCAATGGAGGTTTGGATCAGTCCCATGCTGGCCTCTCAGCCATCAGTCTGAGATCCATGAGCTCCCCTTGTTCAGGTCAGCTGTTTCTGTGGGTTTCACCTACCAAGTCTTTACCTCTTTGCTCATCACTCCTCCTTCTCTGCAATTGGGTTCTAGGAGTTCAGTTCAGTGTTTAGCTGTAGGTGTCTGCCTCTGCTTCCATCAGCCACTGGATGAAGGCTCTAGGATGGCATATAGTGTATTCATCAATCATGCTATCAGGGAAGGGCATTTAAGGTAGTCTCTCCAGTATTGGTTAGATTGCCAGCTGGTATCATCCTTGTAGGCCTCTGGACATCTCACTAGTACCAGATCTCTCTTCACACCTATAATGGCTCCTTCTATTATGGTATCTCTCCTCTATTTTTCCCCTGACTCAACTTTCCTGTTCCCCCATGTCCTCCTCTCCCCGGCTCTTCTCTCCCTCTCTTTCTCCCAGCTTCCTCATCCCTTCCCTGGTGCTCCTAATCCCCTCAGAAGATTGTGTCCCATTCCCCTTCTCTTGGGTACCATGCATATCTCTCTAAGGGTCCTCCCTGTTTCTCAGACTCTGGCTTTGGGATTGTGGGCTGGCACTCCCCTGTTTCATGCCTAAAATCCATATATGAGTGAGTACATACCATGTTTGTCTTTTTGTGACTCGGTTACCTCACTCAAGACGGTTTTGTCTAGTGCCATCCATTTGCCTGCAAATTCCAAGATTCCGTTCTTTTTTTCCCTCTGAGTAGTACTCCATTGTGTAAATGTACCACAATTTCTCTATTCACTCTTCAGTTGAGGGGCATCTGGGTTGCTTCCAGGTTCTGGCTACTACAAATAATGCTGCTATGAACATAGTGGAACAGATGTCCTTGTTATACGAATGTGCATCTTTTGGGTATATGCCTAAGAGGGGAATTGCTGAATCTTGAGGTAGATTGATTTCCATTTTCCTGAGGAATTTCCATACTGATTTCCAAAGTGGCTGTATGAGTTGGCACTCCCACCAGCAGTGGAGGAGTGTTCCCCTCTCTCCACATCCTCTCCAGCATAAATTGTCCCATGTGGCACTGTGAAGAAGGTATATTCTTTTGGATGGAATGTTCTATAGATGTCTGTTAAGCCCAATTGGGTCATAACTTCCTTTGTTTTTTTGTTAAGTTTCTGTCTGGTGGTCCTGTCTAGTGGTGAGAGTGGAGTGTTAAAGTCTCCCACTGTAAGTGTGTGACGTCTTCTGTGTGATTTGAGTTTCAGTAATGTTTCTTTTATGAATGTGGCACCCTTGTATTTGGGGCATAGATGTTCAGAATTGAGACTTCTTCCTGATGGAATTTTTCCTGTGAAGAATATGAAATGACCTTCTTCGTCTCTTTTGATTGATTTTTGTTTGAAGTCTAATTTGTTTGATACTAAGATAGCTATACCAGCTTGTTTCTTGGATCCATTTGATTGGAAAATCTTATCCCAGCCCTTTACTCTAAGGTAATGTCTTTGAAGTTGAGGTGTGTTTCTTGTATGCAGCAGAGTGATGGATTCTGTCTTCGTATCCATTCTTTTAGCCTGTGTCTTTTTGTAGGCAAATTAAGACCATTAATATTGAGGGAGATTAAGGACCGTTGAGTGTTAATTCTTGTTTGTTTTTGATTTGGTGTTGGTGGTGTTATTGTTTGTATATTTTACCCCTTTTTTCTTTTGTCTTTTGGTAAAGTTGGATCATCTCTTGCCTGTGTTTTGTGAGCGTAGTTGCCTTCCTTAGATTGAAGTTTTCCTTCCAGTACTTTCTGTAGGGCTGAATTTGTGGATATGTATTGTTTAAATCTGATTTTGTTGTGGAATATCTTGTTTTCTCCATCTATAGTGATTGAAAGCTTTGCTGGGTATTGTAGTCTGGGCAGGCATCTGTAGTCTCTTAGTGTTGGTAGACTATCTATCCAGAACCTTTTGGCTTTCAAAATTTCCATGGAGGTATGATTCTGATAGGTTTGCCTTTGTATGTTACTTGGCCTTTTTCCTTTGCTGTTCTTAATATTCTTTCTTTATTCTGTATGCTTGGGATCTTGATTATTATGTGGCGAGGGGACTTTTCTTTTGTGATCCACTCTATTTGGTGTTCTGTAGGCTTCTTGTACTTTCATTGGCATGTCTTTCTTTAAGTTGGGAAAGTTTTCTTCTATGATTTTGTTGAGTATGTTTTCTGCACCTTTGAGCTGGGTTTCTTCACATTCTTCTATACCTATTGTTCTTAGATTTGGCCTATTCACAGTGTCCTATATTTCCTGGATGTTTTGTGTTAAGGATTTGTTGGACCTAAGATTTTCTTTGGTCGATGCATTTATTTCTCCTAGTAAATTTTCAGCACCTGAGACTCTCTCTTCTGACTCCTGTATTCTGTTGGTTATGCTTACATCTGTAGTTCACCTTTTCTAATTCCAGCATTCCTTCAGACTTTTTTTATTGTCTCTATTTCAGCTTTCAAACCTTGCACTGTTTGAATTGTTTCTTGTAATTTTTGGTTTGTCTTTTCCTCCATGTCTTCAAAGTATTTTCTCATTTCTTCTTTTAGGGTCTCTATCATCTTCATGAAGTTGCTTTTAAGATTGTTCTCTTCTGTTTCATCTGTGTTGTGATGTTCAGATCTTTCTGGTGTAGAGTCCCTAGAGTCCAGTGGCATCATGTTGGTTTTTCTGTCGTTGTCTTGTATTGTTGTCTTCCCATCCCTTCTTTCAGTGGGTACAGATGGGGTCTCTTCCTTTCCTGGTGAGTACCGGCCCAAGGTTCTCTTCTGGTAGGTGCAAACAGGTCCAATTCACTGATGGGTCTCACGGTGGGTGCAGATGGGTCTAAGGCACTCCCTCTCTCTGTGGGTAGGAGCTCTGTACTCTGCACTCTGCACTCTGCCTTCTGCCCTCTGCCCTCAGGCTCTCTAGCAGGTTCCTGGTAGCTTGTCCTCTAGGGCAAGTCCAGCTTGCTGCAGTTCCCAGTCTAAGAGATCCCCGCCTTAAAGTTCTTAATGTGAACTTCTTTTGCTGTCTTGATGTAGGCCATATCTGAAATATGTGTGTATTATAAATTTATGTCTGCCTGATTGTGCCTTTTGTTTTAGTTGCCTTATCATTTTGCTTCATATCTTCATTTCATAAACTACTTAGTATTTTTAATTAGAAACATCAGAACATTTTTATGAATCATATCACAGTGGCCTTTTACGTAAGAAATACAAGAGTCCCGGGTTGATACATAACATCAAGAACTGAGAACACCTCAGACATGTGTTCTGTTTAAATGGGCAGGACTTTTTTCAATTCTCGTAAAGCAATAGAAAAATCATTTCTTCAGAACAGGACTTGTCAAGTCAAATTTCATTTTTTTGTTTGTTTATTTTTGTTTTTCTAGACAGGGTTTCTCTGTGTATCAGCCCTATCTATCCTGGAATTCACTTTGTAGACCAAGCTAGCCTTGATTTCACAAAGATCCCTCTGCCTCTGCCTCTGCCTCCCGAGTGCTATGATTAAAGGTGTGTGCCACCTGTCTTCGATGTATATTATTGACTAGATACTGCATATGAGGGAGAAAGAGCATGCAGTTTTCTTCTTTCTGAGATTGTATGATCTATGATCTTACTTTAACATTTGTTCTAAGTCTGTCAATGTTCCTAAAAATTTTGTTATTTCATTCTTTTAGAACTGAGTAGTATTCTATTTTATAAATTTTTATTATTTAGTACTATTTCATTTGACAATGAAAAGGCATTTGACAAAGTCCAACTTGCCAACATGGTAAAACGTTCTGGAGACTTTAGAAGTAAATGGAATATACCTCAAGTGGGGAGGAAGGGTTGTATACAACAGACCTGTAGCCAACCTTTATTAAATGGAGACAAACTGAGATCATTTCCTCTGAAGTCAAGAATGAAACAAGGATATATACTCCCCTCTATTATTCTATAGGATACTTGAAGGTTTAGCTATAGCAGTTAGATAAGAGAAAAGCATAAAGGATAAAAATATGGAAGAAATCATACTATCTGCAATTATAGACCACATGACATTTTACTTAAAGGACTGTATCTAATAACCAAAGCCGTGAAAGACTTCTACAGCAAAAGACTTACGATATGGGAAAAGGAAATCACAAAAGAAACTAGACAATGGAAAGATAGTCCATGTGCCTGGATTGGCAGAATTGATATCATGAAAGTGATTATATGCTACCAGAA